CCCAGTCCCAACCCCCCTGCCCCGGGCAGGGCCCCCTTCCCCCAGCCCAGGGGGCTCCCAGCCCCGTCCAACCTGGCCTTGAACCCTTCCAGGGAGGGGGCAGCCACAGCTGCTCTGGGCAACTTGTGCCAGCGCCTCACTGCCCTCACAGTAAAGAATTTCTTCCTTACATCTAATCGAAATCTACCCCCTTTCAGTTTAAAACTGTTGCTCCTTGTCCTCTTGCAACAGACCCTATTAAAATGTCTCTCTGCATCTTTCTTATAAGCCCCCTTTAAGTACTGAAAGGCGGCAATAAGGTCTCCCCAAGAGCTTTCCCTTCTCCAGGCTGAACCACCCCAAACCTTTCATCATGGGAAAGGTGTTTAATCCCTCTGATTATTTCTGTGGCCTCCTCTGGCCCTGCTCAAGCAGGTCAGTGTCCTTCTGATGTCAGGGGCCCCAGGCTGGCCCCAGCACTGCAGGGGGGTCTCCCCAGAGCGCAGCAGAGGGGGAGAATCCCCTCCCTGGCCCTGCTGCCCCCCCTGCTCTGGCTGCAGCCCAGAACACGGGTGGCTTTCTGGGCTGCGAGCAGACATTGCCGGGTCATGTCCAGCTTTTCATCCACCAGTACTCCCAAGTCCTTCTCTGTGGGGCTGCTCTCAATCCACTCATCCCCCAGCCTGTATTGTTACTGGGGATTGCCCTGACCCATGTGCAGGACCTTGCATTTGGCCTTGTTGATCTCCAAGAGGTTCACATGGGCCCACTTCTTAAGCTTGTCCAGGTCCCTCTGGAAGGCATGCCTTCCCTCAGGTGAGGCAACTGCACCACTCAGTTTGGTGTCATTCACTAATTTGATGAGGGTGCACTCAATCCCACTGTCTATGTCATTGGTGAAGACATGAAATAGTACTGGTCCCAGTACAAACCCTTTAGGGACACCACTCCTTACTGGTTTCCCCCTGGACATTGAGCCATTGACCATAACTCTTAACTCAACTCTTTTGTTAACCCTTTCCCTCTGCATGAAGAGCAGTCAAAGCTACTGGGGGCGGGACAGAACACGGGGAGCCCCAACATTCCTTGCCAGGCAACACTCAAACAGAATCCACAGGACAGAAGTGACCATGGCACTGCCAGCTCTGCAGCACACACTGTGCGGCCCTGGGGCTCCTCCGATGGCCCAGCTACTGCAGCCATTCCTCTTCCCCAAAACCTTCTACACCAGAGGTGAGGACTAACCCTGACCCCGACAGCCCCGGGACTCGCTCTGGGGAAATTCAGAGCCCTTTCTCCGTTGCGCCTCTCCCTTCTCCTTCTCAGTCCCCTCATGCGCCCTCCTGTCCCGGCTTGGGATGTGATCACCAGTGAGTGCTCATGTCTCTCTGTCAGGATCAACCTGCCCAGTAAATATAATTTATAGATAATTCCCCAATCTCTTGGAGCCATCTCTCCCATTTCACCACCACATGGACAATCGTCCCTGCCACAAGCTCCCCACTCACCCGGCACAGAGCAGGGGGATGTCTGTGCTCAGGGCTGGCTCAGGGGGTGCCCCAGGAGATTCCTCCAGGTCCTCACCCCTGCACATCTCCCTCTCACCTCTGCAGGTCTGCAGATGGCTCCAAGCAGCAGCTGCTTCAACCCCCATGTCTCCCACTCGGAGTGGACGAGCACCAACCTGCCTCCAGCTGCCACCTTTGTCACCGGCCACAGCGTTGCTTCCCGGCCAGGCGCTGCCCTGTGGGGACCCCCGGGCTGCGGCTCCCCCCGGCCTGGGCAGAGCAATGGGCCCCCCAGAGCCAAGCTGAGCTGTCCTGCCCCACAACTGTCAGGGCAGAGCAGCGGCCTCAGCCCGTCCAGTGCTGCCACCGTCCCTCCGCAGCCACCACCACGTCGAGGGACAGTACACGCACCATGGCCTGTCCAGCAGAGCCAACCGCTGGCGGCACCCCCAGGCAGTGGCAGCCACCCAGGCAACAATATCCCCATGGTTAAGGACATCCTCCCAGGTGTTGACATCTCCCTGGCGAGTGATGTCCCCATGGATGAGGACATCCTCCCAGGTGTTGACATCTCCCTGGCGAGTGATGTCCCCATGGATGAGGACATCCTCCCAGGATGTGACATCTCCCTGGCGAGTGATGTCCCCATGGATGAGGACATCCTCCCAGGTGTTGACATCTCCCTGGCGAGTGATGTCCCCATGGATGAGGACATCCTCCCAGGATGTGACATCTCCCTGGCGAGTGATGTCCCCATGGATGAGGACATCCTCCCAGGATGTGACATCTCCCTGGCGAGTGATGTCCCCATGGATGAGGGCACCCCCCTGGGTGGTAACATCTCCCCCAGCCACTCTGCTGCCCTCCACGTCCAAGCCATCAGGGACCCCGGGGTGATTCCAGCCGGTGACGTTGTGCTGCCTGAGGTGGTGCTGCTGGAAGAGGCTATGAGGCACTTGGATTGCTCCCTGGGGGCAAGGGGGGGATCAGCCGGGACGATTCCAGCAGCGTCCCCGTGCCCGTGGACACCGGTGGCACTAGTGGCTCCATCCCCCAGCGCAGGATCAGCTCGCTGTGGCTGCCCGAGAAGATGCTCCCCAATGACTCGTGTCCCCAAGGCCTCCAAAGCCACCCTGAGCAGGGAGCACTTAACTCCCATCAGGATGAGGGCTGAGGATCCACGGCAGGACGTGGGGACAGACCTGCCACCCCCTCAGGGCAGTGTGTCCCGGCACGACACCAGCCGGGAGAAGCGAGGGGAGAAGTGAGGGGAGAAGCGAGCGGAGAAGCGAGCGGAGAAGCGAGCGGAGAAGCGAGGGGAGAAGCGAGCGGAGAAGCGAGGGGAGAAGCGAGGGGAGAAGCGAGCGGAGAAGCGAGGGGAGAAGCGGCAAAATGGCTCCCGGCCAGAAAATGGCGGCAAGCGCAAGGCCCCTGCAGCCAGTGCTGGGGCGGGGGGTGGGACTGGGCCTGTTGCGGGGAACGGGTGGGTTTGGGGAGGGGGGAGGGTGTGTTGACGATGTAGTAGCTTTGGTAGTGCGTGTTTTGTTCTCAGTTTTTCCATTAAAAGCCATTTATCCAGAACCTGTCCGTGCCTCACTGACGTCCTCCAGGCAGGTGACATCCGTAGCTCTTCCCTCGTCCTCTAATGCCGTCACTCCATCATGGAAGGCCGCTGGATTAGTCGGGCACGATTTGCCCTCGGCGAAGCCACGCTGGCTGTCTCTAAAGCGGCTGCTGAGCTGTTGTCATTCCATTTTCTAGCTCTGCAGTCACCAGTTGTGAGGCATTCATGACTCTCGGCCGCTATGAATTTACAAACTGGCAAAAATGAGCTCTCTAAAGTAGAAACATCCTTCCCAGTAAACTGCCCTGGCATTTTATCGGAATCTGTTTTAGTTTTCCTGCTCTGTGCTGAAATCCTGTAAATTCTTCACCATTGCTTCTGCCACTGTTAGTGCTACTGGTCCCCAGAAATGTTCCAGCTCCCTCTTGCCTGAAATCGCTTTTGAATTCACTCCCTGCTGTAACATCGCAAACCGATTTGCCGCACACTCTATCTCCTACAACATTTCTTAAGTAAGCACCTTACAACTGGCCTTTTTTGACATGCCAAGCTAATAGCTACTGTTTCATTTTGCATTTCTCATAGTACCAGGGAATGTGAAATACTATTTTTAATATATTGCTGCCTATCCTCACTTTCTGCATTAGTTTCACAGATTTTCAGTATACTTCTTTCACTATTTCTTTTCGTCACCAGATTTTCTGCAGAATAGCCCTCTGCCAAAGTTTGTTGCCTTACAGTGATTTTTGTCTTTGCCCTTTGCTACATAGAAGCCAGCACAAATAAGGGAAAAACTGACTATACAAGAGAGTGTGAAAATACCTTACGTCTAAATGACAAAACTAAGATCTTCATAAAGATTAATTAATAAATAAATATACCTATACACACTTCCCCCCCACCCCCCCCCCGACACATACACCTATAAACACGCCCCCGCGACGGGTCACGCGCACCTCGACACCCACACCTGCCCCTACAGACACCCATGAGGACCGGCACCCCCCGGCCTCCCGCCCCGCTCTGCCCCTCGGGCCCGCTCCCCTCACACCAGCGCCGGGGAGCGGGGGAGTGTCACTGAGGGAGGAAAGTCTCACCTCGCCGGTTCGTGGGGCGGACGCGCACCGCCACCTTCACTTTGGAGTCCCCCATCGCGCTGCTCCAACCTCCTCCCCGGCTCCTTCGTCCCTCCTCGGCTTCCGTTTACGGAGGGACAACCGGCGGGGCGGGGAGGAGGGCGGAGCGGGGCGGGAGGGGGTGTCAAACCGGGGGGAGGGGGGGGGCGGAGGAAGGGAGGCACCGTGTGTGACCGACGTCCGGCTGGACTACAGATCCCAGCGTGCAGCGCCGCCCACCCCGCCGCTCCGGGGAGGCGGGCAGCGAGGCGCGATGCCCGCTGGGAGTTGTAGTCCTTTCCGCGCCCGTCTCCTGGCGGGACAGCATTGCATGCTGGGATATGTGGTCCGCTAGCATAGACGAGTTTCGTGAGGGGGCGAGCCCCAAATGGCGTTTGTGGGTTGTGTCGCGCTGACAGAGAAGGGGGGTCTCAGGCTCACCCCAGGTCCTGCCACACATCACCAGAGTGGCTGTGGGCCAGCCCTGTCCCACCTCAGTCTGTGCTGCCTGTGCCTCGGGCCCTTTTTGAGGGAATACTGCCATACTTCGCAGCATCGCCGCTGCGACCCAAAACCTCACCTCGCCGCAAGATGTTCTCTGGGAGTCACAAAGCAAGGCGGCATTGCTCTGCTGGTCCGTGGGGTTTCTGTCCGTTAGAAATCACGTCACGCCGAGGATCACGAACCGTAACCCAACGTAAAGACCGTGGGGTTAGATGATGGCTGGGTCTGGCTTCGCAGAGCAACCTCTGATACGCCGCCGTCAACACACTTTGCAGTTTGCTTAATGAAGGCGGTTCATTAATAGAGCTCAACAGTAATAATCGGAGACAGTTGGAACAATATTACAATTTATTCCCATTAGACGGCTCGGCTGCTCAACCGCAGCTACTGATCTCAGAGACCGAGAATGAAACTATAATGCGAAGATGCAAAAAAAGAAATCTCATTTAAATGGTCATTTAAAAGCCCTTGCAGCTGCTATTTTAGATCAAAACAAAGATTCTCTCTGTGTTATTTTGAAAGGCCAGATTTCAGCAAGGACGGGGGGAAAAAAAAAAGAAAACAAAACAGCAAACCAACAAATTCAGAATTGTAATCCTTTGGGCCTTCAACATCGAATGAGATTTTATGGCATAAATAAATAAAGAACACATTTCCAAGTGGTTTTGAGATAAGATCTTAGAAGGTAGCTCTTCTTGCCCAGAAGAATTGCACTCAATATCTATCATTTCATGCCTGCTTGACCTGAGGAATATCTTGTCAAGGCAGAGAGAAAACAAATATTAAATTGGTATTTAAGTAACACTGGGATTAAAGTCCATGTTCTTAAGAGCATCCCAAGTGAGCATGAGAGTTAAGAAGATGTCTTAGAGTTAAAAAAAAAAAAAAAGAAAGAAAAAATAACAGCAGGTCAGATCAAACAGGGTGGCAAAAGCTTTAAACAACATTTTTTTGTGCATAGCAGCAGAAAGTAGCAGCTCCTGGGTATGCCACGCTTGCAGCTCAGCCCCACAGCCCCGTGTTGTGGTGGGGTTCTTGTTGGAAGAGGGGAGGACCTGCTGTCAGCCCGCACAGTTGGTTCTTGCACTTGTGGACTTGAGGATCCAATTACAGGATGAAACCGGGCTTTGAACTTCTTGTGGTATTTTCCAGCCGGGGCCTCAGCAAACCGCACCAACGTCTTCTGAAACCGAGTACTTTGCAATGGAGGTAAATATAATCCCCGCTTTACAGCTGGGCATGATGAGCCGCAAGTGGAGGGTGATGTTTTTTCTGTTGAGTCACCTGGAATACGATTTAAATAAGTGGGATGAAACCTGCCAGATGTGCATACTGCTGGGGATAGCAGGTGTCACCCAAATCCAGCCCTTCCTCCTGCATCTTCTCCTCTGATATTAGTTATCATTGGTCTCTCTGTTATATGTAAAATTAAATAGTAAATCTTGTGGGGAAAGGATTGCAGACCAGCTTTTCATTTGATAGAAAGAGGGGCCAGCATGTTTTAAGTGCCATATACATGGACAATAACAAGTGAAAGCATCCAATTCTTGCAAGCTTTGCTTCAGTTTTCTACTTGGGATGAAGAATTTATTTTAAAATCTGAAAACTCACCCTTTCAACCTTTCTTCCATTCTAATTGCCAAAGAGAAACCAGATTCGCACGTGATCGTTGCTACGTTCTGCAAACTTCTCTGAAGACGGAGACATCCTCGGAGGCCAAAGAACCATCCTCAGCTTCAACGTCGGGTTTTATCGGGGCTCTGGGAAGGCGATGACTTCTCATGGCTCTGCAGTCTTGCCTCTGGACATTTCCTTTATGCGAGCCCCTGCCTCCTGCAATGAATTACAGTAATGCAACTTATCTTGCACCGGGCACAAGCTACCTCAGTGTAATTACCCCACTGTGAATTCCTCGGCAAGCCCTTTCCCTGGCTCAGAGTTTCACAATCTGTGGGAAGCATCTCCCTGGAGGGGCACAGCTTGGAGGGAGGATATTGTTTCCATTCACAGCACTGGAACATGCTAATTATTCTGGGAGGAAAGGGGGGGTGGGGTGGGGGGGTGGCAGCTTTCACTTGGGAGGGACAGGCTGGGCAAATAGTTTGTGAAACGCCAACTTAACCCCATCTTGTAGGGCATTGTCTGCAGCTCTTTTCCCCCTTCCTAGTTACTGTAATGAGGGCCTGACTTCCCAGATTAGCTCTGGCTATTTAAATGCTAATTTAATTAACAAAACATCCGGGGGGGGGGGGGGGGGGGGGGGGGAAGCATTACTTGTCCCTCCCATTCATTTATCGAATTTCTGAATGCAACACTATTTTCATCAGGTTGAGGAGCTACAGTCATTGCTACACCCACCTGGTCATAGCAGGGATTAAAGCAGTGATGTGGAGGAGAGAAAAAGAGGGCCTCCGTCTCATTTTTTTATAAGCAACTGAATTTCATTGGTTTTGTTTAGAAGTAACCAAGTCAAAACAGTTTAATGTGTCCCACATAACTGGGATGGCTGGGGTGTGTGTATCACCAGGACCCAAGGGAAGAAGATGGCTTTTGTTTTTATTTAGGTGAAGGTATGAATGGTTTGGATCTCGGATCTTCTAGATAGAACTGTATCTCAGGGCAAGCCAGAAAACATGACAGTCTTTTGGAAGTCTTCTTCCAGTCCATAACAAGTAACAAATCAATTGTATTTTAAATATTTTTTTTCATTTGTTAGACTGCGTATCAAAAGAGACGCATCAATTATGAATTTGCAGTAGACCTACTTTCTGCCCATAAATCATTCAGGTGTTGGAAAACTAAAACAGAGGATCTTACTAGTGTTTAGTTAGTTGTATGCAAACTCTTAAGGGGTCCACTTCTGCAAGAAGCTGAGCACCAACTGGGACAGTCCCAGTCAGAGACTGGGAGGCATTCAGGGCAGCCAGCAGCACTTTAGCATCTTCAGTGATCAGGTTCTCAGCACAAAAATATTTTGCGAAACAGTTTAAAAACAAGACCTGTTGCTGTTTTGCATTTTTCATAGATTGTTGTTTTGGCCAGTCCCAGGAGTAAAGAGTTTTATTCTGGTACGATAAGTTTGCCTTCAGGTTTATCTTGCTTTTCAGTCTGGAGATACAAATATATAAATGTAGTAGAAATTTATAGGTACTTAGAAGCGAAAACAGAAGATAGATTTGTTATAAATTTCTTTCAACTATAATCAAGAAAGCAAGCACCAAGGGAAATTGGTATTAAGAACAGGTCAAGAAATCTGGATAAAAGAGAAATTCAATTTATCCAAATCAGTTGTCAAAACTCTGCTTGATATCAAAATGTTGTCTGCTTTTTGTTTTTTGTTGTTTGTTTGTTTTTTTTTTTTTTTTAAAAGGAATTGCTGAAATTTCTCAGCCAACACTTTGCGCAAATGTACAGGTTTGGGAGACTCACATTCATTTTAGCAAGGCACTTTCTGTGCTCCATTATTTTAATAGGAACTTCCTATAATCAAAGGATTGATTGTTCCCTGGGTCATTCGTGACTCTGAATTTCACTGATCCTGGCATGAACTTTTGAAGGTATTTGAGTGTGGCCTCCTAGTCTCAGTGTGAAAAGTATTCACGGCCAAATAAATGAACTCTCGAAGTCTTCTTGCGGCACTAGATTATAACAGATTAAAACCCGAACCACACTTTTTATAGACAGCCCCCTCTTTTTAAAAGTTATTCCAGAGTTCAAAGTCCTGGTCATAAATCTCATGGCATTATAGGACATGTATTACCCAGAGGAAAGCACAAATCAATAGCCAGACCCCGATGTCTCCATAAACCCCATATGTGCCCTGTTTATAGCAGTGAAATTTCTTACACTTTGGCTGGGGTGCTTCTCCCATACAGTGGGATTTCAGTACAAATTCATACTTCTGGCAGCAACGCAAGGCCAGGCAATATTAGCAAATTTTGTGCTGGTAGGATGAGGTTCCTGATGAGTATTTTCTCATTGACTAAAAATTTCTATTATTCTTATCAGCTGTTCAGTTTGCTGATACAGAGTGTTTCAGAGCAACTGGTTTTACCAGCCGTGTTACATTTTCTTTGAGAGGTTCTTTCCTCAGGTAAAGACTCCACACTGGATTTCCTTTGTTTGAAAGGAAAATAGATTTTCTGTCTTTGGAGAAAATGGAGAATCTCTGAAGAACTTGAAAAATACAAAATTAGCGGGAGAGCGTTTCTAGCAGTTGTAAGACAAGTTTGTAGTTCTATAAAAGCAAAAATCCCAACACAATGGCAATTACGGGTACTCTGATGAACGCATATTTACCGAGCTGTGTAATGTTTCCCGCGTTTATCTCCTAGTACTTCTGAGATACATGAATGGTCAGGGCTGAACTGCCTTGACTTCAAAGGTTGGAATATTTTACAGCTTCATCTGCTGAATCATGTTGGTTTTGCTCCACTTCTGCAGAGGCGCCGCCTGCAAAAGCCACATTTTTTTGCTTTTCTGCCCATCCACACCTTGTCTCTTCTTCACCTTCCCTCTTCCCCAGAAGCTGTACAGCTTCAGAGCATGTCCTGGTAATCCAGACACCGACAGACACTGGCCAAGATCCTAATCCAAACCCAGATCTAAATTATCCAGCTGCATTTACACTAATAATAATAATAATAATAATAATAAAAAAACCCTAATGTGTTTTGCCTATGTTTAGCAAATAACACCGCAGGCTAAATTGCCAGCTCCAGATACCCCCAGATTTAACGAGTTGGTAATTTGATGTTGAAACTTGGGAAATTTTGATAAATGGGGATGCTGCTGTCAGTGCCGGGAGCTGTAGAATTTATGGATGAAATGGGATTTTATCAGCGACGACCAAAAATTCCTTTCTGACTCTATAGGCAAGAGTGACGCCCGGTGGCTACGGAGCAAAATAAAATCAGGTCTAATTGTAATGGTCCCCTTTCCTGTCCTTCCTTATTTATTGATTTTCCCCTGCTGCTTTTAAGGAAAGAGCTGGGGACAAGCAAGGACTTCTACCCGCCCTCGCAGCATGAGCACCCATTGCCTGGTGGCACCCATTCCCCTGGACCAGCTCCTTTGGGGTGAAAGTGGGAGAGCAAAGGGGTGCTGGCAACTCTCCCATGGCTCCTAAAATGCTGCAGCCAAGCATGGAGACACAGATGTGGTCCTGGCACCCTGAATTTGGGCAGAGGATTTCCACTGATCTTGCCACAACCCTTATGTGGCCCTTCCCAGGGTTTGTCTACGCTCAGGGCTTGCGCTCGTTAGGACACGAGATGGGATTTCTTTTATCCATATTTCAGCTAAAATGGCAGCAAACTCATTAGCACGGGTTATCAGAGAGAAGTAAATACCGGGGGCCTCCTTTTTGCTTTGTGCCTACTACGTAGTGCTTATCATACAGTAAAGATTATGTGACAAAAAGAATGAAACAGCATTTTGACTACTACTGTCTACGTAACCCTAAACCCTAATACCTTCAGCTAAGCGGTTATTGATGGGTATTATGAATGGTTAACTACCTGAAGGAAAGTGTTCAAAAAAAAAAAAAAAGGAGTAATCTTTGCCGAAGGGCTAAAAATGTACTTTATTTGGACTTTAATTTGGACTTACTAGAAATGAAAATGGAAATGCCCAGGTAATTACCTCACTCACTGAGCTGTGGCTTTAATAAATGTCAAGTGTTGGGAGTGTACTGCTAAAAGCTGGTGTCATGGGCCTCTGCTGGAAACGTGCCCATTGAACAAACAAACCAGTTTGGCTCCTAAATCAAAAGTCCCCGTGGTATTTCTGTATGGGTGAGCATTGACATTAGATGTTCCCTAAGGTACCTATCCATATCTCAATGTGTTATAAAGAGGGAACTCAAGCTGAGGTCTGGGTCTGCTTACTGGGAAAATGAAGCCCAGCTCTGATACTTAGACCTTGCTTCTGTCTCTGCTTCCAGACCTCCACTTCACTGGTGTACATGATACCTGGATTTAGGAGCTCACTGGTGCGGTTTCCAATTGAAAACATGGAGCGGGGAAGGATTGTTGAAGGGACAGATTGAGGTACTCTGGTCCTTCACTCATGGATGCCTGCAAAACTAAGAAAACACAAAAATATTTTCTCTTAAAATTTGGGAATACCTCTCCCGATTGCGAATAACTGGGATGGGAAGGAGCATCGGGTTTGTGCCGGTAAGTTTTCTGAGTTTTCAGAAAGGCAAAGAACCACGTTATTACGAGTGAAGAGCATGAAGGAGAGCTTGTTGCACAGCACAAGGCCATCGCAACCAGAGAAGCAAGGAGCAGTGTGTAGCTGCCAGAAATACCAAGCCACCTCTTCCAACACCCCTCAGCTCAAAGGCCCATCTCTTTGCAGAGACATCCTCTTGCCCAGAGCTGCATTGTACAGCATACGGCCTCCCGCTTGCCTTGAGGAGATGTCTCTTAAGAGGCTCTTCCACAGTCAGCTTCACAGCCACACTGTTGCTCCTAATATTCATCACATGCGGGATCAAAAAATTACGTCTGCAGAAAGTTGCTCCAGAACAAAAATGTCATTCAATCATAGAGTGGTTTGGGTTGGAAGGGACCTCAGAGATCACCCAGTCCCAACCCCCCTGCCCCGGGCAGGGCCCCCTTCCCCCAGCCCAGGGGGCTCCCAGCCCCGTCCAACCTGGCCTTGAACCCTTCCAGGGAGGGGGCAGCCACAGCTGCTCTGGGCAACTTGTGCCAGCGCCTCACTGCCCTCACAGTAAAGAATTTCTTCCTTACATCTAATCGAAATCTACCCCCTTTCAGTTTAAAACTGTTGCTCCTTGTCCTCTTGCAACAGACCCTATTAAAATGTCTCTCTGCATCTTTCTTATAAGCCCCCTTTAAGTACTGAAAGGCGGCAATAAGGTCTCCCCAAGAGCTTTCCCTTCTCCAGGCTGAACCACCCCAAACCTTTCATCATGGGAAAGGTGTTTAATCCCTCTGATTATTTCTGTGGCCTCCTCTGGCCCTGCTCAAGCAGGTCAGTGTCCTTCTGATGTCAGGGGCCCCAGGCTGGCCCCAGCACTGCAGGGGGGTCTCCCCAGAGCGCAGCAGAGGGGGAGAATCCCCTCCCTGGCCCTGCTGCCCCCCCTGCTCTGGCTGCAGCCCAGAACACGGGTGGCTTTCTGGGCTGCGAGCAGACATTGCCGGGTCATGTCCAGCTTTTCATCCACCAGTACTCCCAAGTCCTTCTCTGTGGGGCTGCTCTCAATCCACTCATCCCCCAGCCTGTATTGTTACTGGGGATTGCCCTGACCCATGTGCAGGACCTTGCATTTGGCCTTGTTGATCTCCAAGAGGTTCACATGGGCCCACTTCTTAAGCTTGTCCAGGTCCCTCTGGAAGGCATGCCTTCCCTCAGGTGAGGCAACTGCACCACTCAGTTTGGTGTCATTCACTAATTTGATGAGGGTGCACTCAATCCCACTGTCTATGTCATTGGTGAAGACATGAAATAGTACTGGTCCCAGTACAAACCCTTTAGGGACACCACTCCTTACTGGTTTCCCCCTGGACATTGAGCCATTGACCATAACTCTTAACTCAACTCTTTTGTTAACCCTTTCCCTCTGCATGAAGAGCAGTCAAAGCTACTGGGGGCGGGACAGAACACGGGGAGCCCCAACATTCCTTGCCAGGCAACACTCAAACAGAATCCACAGGACAGAAGTGACCATGGCACTGCCAGCTCTGCAGCACACACTGTGCGGCCCTGGGGCTCCTCCGATGGCCCAGCTACTGCAGCCATTCCTCTTCCCCAAAACCTTCTACACCAGAGGTGAGGACTAACCCTGACCCCGACAGCCCCGGGACTCGCTCTGGGGAAATTCAGAGCCCTTTCTCCGTTGCGCCTCTCCCTTCTCCTTCTCAGTCCCCTCATGCGCCCTCCTGTCCCGGCTTGGGATGTGATCACCAGTGAGTGCTCATGTCTCTCTGTCAGGATCAACCTGCCCAGTAAATATAATTTATAGATAATTCCCCAATCTCTTGGAGCCATCTCTCCCATTTCACCACCACATGGACAATCGTCCCTGCCACAAGCTCCCCACTCACCCGGCACAGAGCAGGGGGATGTCTGTGCTCAGGGCTGGCTCAGGGGGTGCCCCAGGAGATTCCTCCAGGTCCTCACCCCTGCACATCTCCCTCTCACCTCTGCAGGTCTGCAGATGGCTCCAAGCAGCAGCTGCTTCAACCCCCATGTCTCCCACTCGGAGTGGACGAGCACCAACCTGCCTCCAGCTGCCACCTTTGTCACCGGCCACAGCGTTGCTTCCCGGCCAGGTGCTGCCCTGTGGGGACCCCCGGGCTGCGGCTCCCCCCGGCCTGGGCAGAGCAATGGGCCCCCCAGAGCCAAGCTGAGCTGTCCTGCCCCACAACTGTCAGGGCAGAGCAGCGGCCTCAGCCCGTCCAGTGCTGCCACCGTCCCTCCGCAGCCACCACCACGTCGAGGGACAGTACACGCACCATGGCCTGTCCAGCAGAGCCAACCGCTGGCGGCACCCCCAGGCAGTGGCAGCCACCCAGGCAACAATATCCCCATGGTTAAGGACATCCTCCCAGGTGTTGACATCTCCCTGGCGAGTGATGTCCCCATGGATGAGGACATCCTCCCAGGTGTTGACATCTCCCTGGCGAGTGATGTCCCCATGGATGAGGACATCCTCCCAGGTGTTGATATCTCCCTGGCGAGTGATGTCCCCATGGATGAGGACATCCTCCCAGGATGTGACATCTCCCTGGCGAGTGATGTCCCCATGGATGAGGGCACCCCCCTGGGTGGTAACATCTCCCCCAGCCACTCTGCTGCCCTCCATGTCCAAGCCATCAGGGACCCCGGGGTGATTCCAGCCGGTGACGTTGTGCTGCCTGAGGTGGTGCTGCTGGAAGAGGCTATGAGGCACTTGGATTGCTCCCTGGGGGCAAGGGGGGGATCAGCCGGGACGATTCCAGCAGCGTCCCCGTGCCCGTGGACACCGGTGGCACTAGTGGCTCCATCCCCCAGCGCAGGATCAGCTCGCTGTGGCTGCCCGAGAAGATGCTCCCCAATGACTCGTGTCCCCAAGGCCTCCAAAGCCACCTTGAGCAGGGAGCACTTAACTCCCATCAGGATGAGGGCTGAGGATCCACGGCAGGACGTGGGGACAGACCTGCCACCCCCTCAGGGCAGTGTGTCCCGGCACGACACCAGCCGGGAGAAGCGAGCGGAGAAGCGAGCGGAGAAGCGAGGGGAGAAGCGAGGGGAGAAGCGAGGGGAGAAGCGAGCGGAGAAGCGAGCGGAGAAGCGAGGGGAGAAGCGAGCGGAGAAGCGAGCGGAGAAGCGAGGGGAGAAGCGAGCGGAGAAGCGAGGGGAGAAGCGAGCGGAGAAGCGAGCGGAGAAGCGGCAAAATGGCTCCCGGCCAGAAAATGGCGGCAAGCGCAAGGCCCCTGCAGCCAGTGCTGGGGCGGGGGGTGGGACTGGGCCTGTTGCGGGGAACGGGTGGGTTTGGGGAGGGGGGAGGGTGTGTTGACGATGTAGTAGCTTTGGTAGTGCGTGTTTTGTTCTCAGTTTTTCCATTAAAAGCCATTTATCCAGAACCTGTCCGTGCCTCACTGACGTCCTCCAGGCAGGTGACATCCGTAGCTCTTCCCTCGTCCTCTAATGCCGTCACTCCATCATGGAAGGCCGCTGGATTAGTCGGGCACGATTTGCCCTCGGCGAAGCCACGCTGGCTGTCTCTAAAGCGGCTGCTGAGCTGTTGTCATTCCATTTTCTAGCTCTGCAGTCACCAGTTGTGAGGCATTCATGACTCTCGGCCGCTATGAATTTACAAACTGGCAAAAATGAGCTCTCTAAAGTAGAAACATCCTTCCCAGTAAACTGCCCTGGCATTTTATCGGAATCTGTTTTAGTTTTCCTGCTCTGTGCTGAAATCCTGTAAATTCTTCACCATTGCTTCTGCCACTGTTAGTGCTACTGGTCCCCAGAAATGTTCCAGCTCCCTCTTGCCTGAAATCGCTTTTGAATTCACTCCCTGCTGTAACATCGCAAACCGATTTGCCGCACACTCTATCTCCTACAACATTTCTTAAGTAAGCACCTTACAACTGGCCTTTTTTGACATGCCAAGCTAATAGCTACTGTTTCATTTTGCATTTCTCATAGTACCAGGGAATGTGAAATACTATTTTTAATATATTGCTGCCTATCCTCACTTTCTGCATTAGTTTCACAGATTTTCAGTATACTTCTTTCACTATTTCTTTTCGTCACCAGATTTTCTGCAGAATAGCCCTCTGCCAAAGTTTGTTGCCTTACAGTGATTTTTGTCTTTGCCCTTTGCTACATAGAAGCCAGCACAAATAAGGGAAAAACTGACTATACAAGAGAGTGTGAAAATACCTTACGTCTAAATGACAAAACTAAGATCTTCATAAAGATTAATTAATAAATAAATATACCTATACACACTTCCCCCCCACCCCCCCCCCGACACATACACCTATAAACACGCCCCCGCGACGGGTCACGCGCACCTCGACACCCACACCTGCCCCTACAGACACCCATGAGGACCGGCACCCCCCGGCCTCCCGCCCCGCTCTGCCCCTCGGGCCCGCTCCCCTCACACCAGCGCCGGGGAGCGGGGGAGTGTCACTGAGGGAGGAAAGTCTCACCTCGCCGGTTCGTGGGGCGGACGCGCACCGCCACCTTCACTTTGGAGTCCCCCATCGCGCTGCTCCAACCTCCTCCCCGGCTCCTTCGTCCCTCCTCGGCTTCCGTTTACGGAGGGACAACCGGCGGGGCGGGGAGGAGGGCGGAGCGGGGCGGGAGGGGGTGTCAAACCGGGGGGAGGGGGGGGGCGGAGGAAGGGAGGCACCGTGTGTGACCGACGTCCGGCTGGACTACAGATCCCAGCGTGCAGCGCCGCCCACCCCGCCGCTCCGGGGAGGCGGGCAGCGAGGCGCGATGCCCGCTGGGAGTTGTAGTCCTTTCCGCGCCCGTCTCCTGGCGGGACAGCATTGCATGCTGGGATATGTGGTCCGCTAGCATAGACGAGTTTCGTGAGGGGGCGAGCCCCAAATGGCGTTTGTGGGTTGTGTCGCGCTGACAGAGAAGGGGGGTCTCAGGCTCACCCCAGGTCCTGCCACACATCACCAGAGTGGCTGTGGGCCAGCCCTGTCCCACCTCAGTCTGTGCTGCCTGTGCCTCGGGCCCTTTTTGAGGGAATACTGCCATACTTCGCAGCATCGCCGCTGCGACCCAAAACCTCACCTCGCCGCAAGATGTTCTCTGGGAGTCACAAAGCAAGGCGGCATTGCTCTGCTGGTCCGTGGGGTTTCTGTCCGTTAGAAATCACGTCACGCCGAGGATCACGAACCGTAACCCAACGTAAAGACCGTGGGGTTAGATGATGGCTGGGTCTGGCTTCGCAGAGCAACCTCTGATACGCCGCCGTCAACACACTTTGCAGTTTGCTTAATGAAGGCGGTTCATTAATAGAGCTCAACAGTAATAATCGGAGACAGTTGGAACAATATTACAATTTATTCCCATTAGACGGCTCGGCTGCTCAACCGCAGCTACTGATCTCAGAGACCGAGAATGAAACTATAATGCGAAGATGCAAAAAAAGAAATCTCATTTAAATGGTCATTTAAAAGCCCTTGCAGCTGCTATTTTAGATCAAAACAAAGATTCTCTCTGTGTTATTTTGAAAGGCCAGATTTCAGCAAGGACGGGGGGAAAAAAAAAAGAAAACAAAACAGCAAACCAACCAATTCAGAATTGTAATCCTTTGGGCCTTCAACATCGAATGAGATTTTATGGCATAAATAAATAAATAACACATTTCCAAGTGGTTTTGAGATAAGATTTTAGAAGGTAGCTCTTCTTGCCCAGAAGAATTGCACTCAATATCTATCATTTCATGCCTGCTTGACCTGAGGAATATCTTGTCAAGGCAGAGAGAAAACAAATATTAAATTGGTATTTAAGTAACACTGGGATTAAAGTCCATGTTCTTAAGAGCATCCCAAGTGAGCATGAGAGTTAAGAAGATGTCTTAGAGTTAAAAAAAAAAAAAAAAGAAAGAAAAAATAACAGCAGGTCAGATCAAACAGGGTGGCAAAAGCTTTAAACAACATTTTTTTGTGCATAGCAGCAGAAAGTAGCAGCTCCTGGGTATGCCACGCTTGCAGCTCAGCCCCACAGCCCCGTGTTGTGGTGGGGTTCTTGTTGGAAGAGGGGAGGACCTGCTGTCAGCCCGCACAGTTGGTTCTTGCACTTGTGGACTTGAGGATCCAATTACAGGATGAAACCGGGCTTTGAACTTCTTGTGGTATTTTCCAGCCGGGGCCTCAGCAAACCGCACCAACGTCTTCTGAAACCGAGTACTTTGCAATGGAGGTAAATATAATCCCCGCTTTACAGCTGGGCATGATGAGCCGCAAGTGGAGGGTGATGTTTTTTCTGTTGAGTCACCTGGAATACGATTTAAATAAGTGGGATGAAACCTGCCAGATGTGCATACTGCTGGGGATAGCAGGTGTCACCCAAATCCAGCCCTTCCTCCTGCATCTTCTCCTCTGATATTAGTTATCATTGGTCTCTCTGTTATATGTAAAATTAAATAGTAAATCTTGTGGGGAAAGGATTGCAGACCAGCTTTTCATTTGATAGAAAGAGGGGCCAGCATGTTTTAAGTGCCATATACATGGACAATAACAAGTGAAAGCATCCAATTCTTGCAAGCTTTGCTTCAGTTTTCTACTTGGGATGAAGAATTTATTTTAAAATCTGAAAACTCACCCTTTCAACCTTTCTTCCATTCTAATTGCCAAAGAGAAACCAGATTCGCACGTGATCGTTGCTACGTTCTGCAAACTTCTCTGAAGACGGAGACATCCTCGGAGGCCAAAGAACCATCCTCAGCTTCAACGTCGGGTTTTATCGGGGCTCTGGGAAGGCGATGACTTCTCATGGCTCTGCAGTCTTGCCTCTGGACATTTCCTTTATGCGAGCCCCTGCCTCCTGCAATGAATTACAGTAATGCAACTTATCTTGCACCGGGCACAAGCTACCTCAGTGTAATTACCCCACTGTGAATTCCTCGGCAAGCCCTTTCCCTGGCTCAGAGTTTCACAATCTGTGGGAAGCATCTCCCTGGAGGGGCACAGCTTGGAGGGAGGATATTGTTTCCATTCACAGCACTGGAACATGCTAATTATTCTGGGAGGAAAGGGGGGGTGGGGTGGGGGGGGTGGCAGCTTTCACTTGGGAGGGACAGGCTGGGCAAATAGTTTGTGAAACGCCAACTTAACCCCATCTTGTAGGGCATTGTCTGCAGCTCTTTTCCCCCTTCCTAGTTACTGTAATGAGGGCCTGACTTCCCAGATTAGCTCTGGCTATTTAAATGCTAATTTAATTAACAAAACATCCGGGGGGGGGGGGGAAGCATTACTTGTCCCTCCCATTCATTTATCGAATTTCTGAATGCAACACTATTTTCATCAGGTTGAGGAGCTACAGTTATTGCTACACCCACCTGGTCATAGCAGGGATTAAAGCAGTGATGTGGAGGAGAGAAAAAGAGGGCCTCCGTCTCATTTTTTTATAAGCAACTGAATTTCATTGGTTTTGTTTAGAAGTAACCAAGTCAAAACAGTTTAATGTGTCCCACATAACTGGGATGGCTGGGGTGTGTGTATCACCAGGACCCAAGGGAAGAAGATGGCTTTTGTTTTTGTTTAGGTGAAGGTATGAATGGTTTGGATCTCGGATCTTCTAGATAGAACTGTATCTCAGGGCAAGCCAGAAAACATGACAGTCTTTTGGAAGTCTTCTTCCAGTCCATAACAAGTAACAAATCAATTGTATTTTAAATATTTTTTTTCATTTGTTAGACTGCGTATCAAAAGAGACGCATCAATTATGAATTTGCAGTAGACCTACTTTCTGCCCATAAATCATTCAGGTGTTGGAAAACTAAAACAGAGGATCTTACTAGTGTTTAGTTAGTTGTATGCAAACTCTTAAGGGGTCCACTTCTGCAAGAAGCTGAGCACCAACTGGGACAGTCCCAGTCAGAGACTGGGAGGCATTCAGGGCAGCCAGCAGCACTTTAGCATCTTCAGTGATCAGGTTCTCAGCACAAAAATATTTTGCGAAACAGTTTAAAAACAAGACCTGTTGCTGTTTTGCATTTTTCATAGATTGTTGTTTTGGCCAGTCCCAGGAGTAAAGAGTTTTATTCTGGTACGATAAGTTTGCCTTCAGGTTTATCTTGCTTTTCAGTCTGGAGATACAAATATATAAATGTAGTAGAAATTTATAGGTACGTAGAAGCGAAAACAGAAGATAGATTTGTTATAAATTTCTTTCAACTATAATCAAGAAAGCAAGCACCAAGGGAAATTGGTATTAAGAACAGGTCAAGAAATCTGGATAAAAGAGAAATTCAATTTATCCAAATCAGTTGTCAAAACTCTGCTTGATATCAAAATGTTGTCTGCTTTTTGTTTTTTGTTGTTTGTTTGTTTTTTTTTTTTTTTTAAAAGGAATTGCTGAAATTTCTCAGCCAACACTTTGCGCAAATGTACAGGTTTGGGAGACTCACATTCATTTTAGCAAGGCACTTTCTGTGCTCCATTATTTTAATAGGAACTTCCTATAATCAAAGGATTGATTGTTCCCTGGGTCATTCGTGACTCTGAATTTCACTGATCCTGGCATGAACTTTTGAAGGTATTTGAGTGTGGCCTCCTAGTCTCAGTGTGAAAAGTATTCACGGCCAAATAAATGAACTCTCGAAGTCTTCTTGCGGCACTAGATTATAACAGATTAAAACCCGAACCACACTTTTTATAGACAGCCCCCTCTTTTTAAAAGTTATTCCAGAGTTCAAAGTCCTGGTCATAAATCTCATGGCATTATAGGACATGTATTACCCAGAGGAAAGCACAAATCAATAGCCAGACCCCGATGTCTCCATAAACCCCATATGTGCCCTGTTTATAGCAGTGAAATTTCTTACACTTTGGCTGGGGTGCTTCTCCCATACAGTGGGATTTCAGTACAAATTCATACTTCTGGCAGCAACGCAAGGCCAGGCAATATTAGCAAATTTTGTGCTGGTAGGATGAGGTTCCTGATGAGTATTTTCTCATTGACTAAAAATTTCTATTATTCTTATCAGCTGTTCAGTTTGCTGATACAGAGTGTTTCAGAGCAACTGGTTTTACCAGCCGTGTTACATTTTCTTTGAGAGGTTCTTTCCTCAGGTAAAGACTCGACACTGGATTTCCTTTGTTTGAAAGGAAAATAGATTTTCTGTCTTTGGAGAAAATGGAGAATCTCTGAAGAACTTGAAAAATACAAAATTAGCGGGAGAGCGTTTCTAGCAGTTGTAAGACAAGTTTGTAGTTCTATAAAAGCAAAAATCCCAACACAATGGCAATTACGGGTACTCTGATGAACGCATATTTACCGAGCTGTGTAATGTTTCCCGCGTTTATCTCCTAGTACTTCTGAGATACATGAATGGTCAGGGCTGAACTGCCTTGACTTCAAAGGTTGGAATATTTTACAGCTTCATCTGCTGAATCATGTTGGTTTTGCTCCACTTCTGCAGAGGCGCCGCCTGCAAAAGCCACATTTTTTTGCTTTTCTGCCCATCCACACCTTGTCTCTTCTTCACCTTCCCTCTTCCCCAGAAGCTGTACAGCTTCAGAGCATGTCCTGGTAATCCAGACACCGACAGACACTGGCCAAGATCCTAATCCAAACCCAGATCTAAATTATCCAGCTGCATTTACACTAATAATAATAATAATAATAATAATAATAAAAAACCCTAATGTGTTTTGCCTATGTTTAGCAAATAACACCGCAGGCTAAATTGCCAGCTCCAGATACCCCCAGATTTAACGAGTTGGTAATTTGATGTTGAAACTTGGGAAATTTTGATAAATGGGGATGCTGCTGTCAGTGCCGGGAGCTGTAGAATTTATGGATGAAATGGGATTTTATCAGCGACGACCAAAAATTCCTTTCTGACTCTATAGGCAAGAGTGACACCCGGTGGCTACGGAGCAAAATAAAATCAGGTCTAATTGTAATGGTCCCCTTTCCTGTCCTTCCTTATTTATTGATTTTCCCCTGCTGCTTTTAAGGAAAGAGCTGGGGACAAGCAAGGACTTCTACCCGCCCTCGCAGCATGAGCACCCATTGCCTGGTGGCACCCATTCCCCTGGACCAGCTCCTTTGGGGTGAAAGTGGGAGAGCAAAGGGGTGCTGGCAACTCTCCCATGGCTCCTAAAATGCTGCAGCCAAGCATGGAGACACAGATGTGGTCCTGGCACCCTGAATTTGGGCAGAGGATTTCCACTGATCTTGCCACAACCCTTATGTGGCCCTTCCCAGGGTTTGTCTACGCTCAGGGCTTGCGCTCGTTAGGACACGAGATGGGATTTCTTTTATCCATATTTCAGCTAAAATGGCAGCAAACTCATTAGCACGGGTTATCAGAGAGAAGTAAATACCGGGGGCCTCCTTTTTGCTTTGTGCCTACTACTGTAGTGCTTATCATACAGTAAAGATTATGTGACAAAAAGAATGAAACAGCATTTTTGACTACTACTGTCTATGTAACCCTAAACCCTAATACCTTCAGCTAAGCGGTTATTGATGGGTATTATGAATGGTTAACTACCATGAAGGAAAGTGTTCAAAAAAAAAAAAAGGAGTAATCTTTGCCGAAGGGCTAAAAATGTACTTTATTTGGACTTTAATTTGGACTTACTAGAAATGAAAATGGAAATGCCCAGGTAATTACCTCACTCACTGAGCTGTGGCTTTAATAAATGTCAAGTGTTGGGAGTGTACTGCTAAAAGCTGGCGTCATGGGCCTCTGCTGGAAACGTGCCCATTGAACAAACCAACCAGTTTGGCTCCTAAATCAAAAGTCCCCGTGGTATTTCTGTATGGGTGAGCATTGACATTAGATGTTCCCTAAGGTACCTATCCATATCTCAATGTGTTATAAAGAGGGAACTCAAGCTGAGGTCTGGGTCTGCTTACTGGGAAAATGAAGCCCAGCTCTGATACTTAGACCTTGCTTCTGTCTCTGCTTCCAGACCTCCACTTCACTGGTGTACATGATACCTGGATTTAGGAGCTCACTGGTGCGGTTTCCAATTGAAAACATGGAGCAGGGGAAGGATTGTTGAAGGGACAGATTGAGGTACTCTGGTCCTTCACTCATGGATGCCTGCAAAACTAAGAAAACACAAAAATATTTTCTCCTTAAAATTTGGGAATACCTCTCCCGATTGCGAATAACTGGGATGGGAAGGAGCATCGGGTTTGTGCCGGTAAGTTTTCTGAGTTTTCAGAAAGGCAAAGAACCACGTTATTACGAGTGAAGAGCATGAAGGAGAGCTTGTTGCACAGCACAAGGCCATCGCAACCAGAGAAGCAAGGAGCAGTGTGTAGCTGCCAGAAATACCAAGCCACCTCTTCCAACACCCCTCAGCTCAAAGGCCCATCTCTTTGCAGAGACATCCTCTTGCCCAGAGCTGCATTGTACAGCATACGGCCTCCCGCTTGCCTTGAGGAGATGTCTCTTAAGAGGCTCTTCCACAGTCAGCTTCACAGCCACACTGTTGCTCCTAATATTCATCACATGCGGGATCAAAAAATTACGTCTGCAGAAAGTTGCTCCAGAACAAAAATGTCATTCAATCATAGAGTGGTTTGGGTTGGAAGGGACCTCAGAGATCACTCAGTCCCAACCCCCCTGCCCCGGGCAGGGCCCCCTTCCCCCAGCCCAGGGGGCTCCCAGCCCCGTCCAACCTGGCCTTGAACCCTTCCAGGGAGGGGGCAGCCACAGCTGCTCTGGGCAACTTGTGCCAGCGCCTCACTGCCCTCACAGTAAAGAATTTCTTCCTTACATCTAATCGAAATCTACCCCCTTTCAGTTTAAAACTGTTGCTCCTTGTCCTCTTGCAACAGACCCTATTAAAATGTCTCTCTGCATCTTTCTTATAAGCCCCCTTTAAGTACTGAAAGGCGGCAATAAGGTCTCCCCAAGAGCTTTCCCTTCTCCAGGCTGAACCACCCCAAACCTTTCATCATGGGAAAGGTGTTTAATCCCTCTGATTATTTCTGTGGCCTCCTCTGGCCCTGCTCAAGCAGGTCAGTGTCCTTCTGATGTCAGGGGCCCCAGGCTGGCCCCAGCACTGCAGGGGGGTCTCCCCAGAGCGCAGCAGAGGGGGAGAATCCCCTCCCTGGCCCTGCTGCCCCCCCTGCTCTGGCTGCAGCCCAGAACACGGGTGGCTTTCTGGGCTGCGAGCAGACATTGCCGGGTCATGTCCAGCTTTTCATCCACCAGTACTCCCAAGTCCTTCTCTGTGGGGCTGCTCTCAATCCACTCATCCCCCAGCCTGTATTGTTACTGGGGATTGCCCTGACCCATGTGCAGGACCTTGCATTTGGCCTTGTTGATCTCCAAGAGGTTCACATGGGCCCACTTCTTAAGCTTGTCCAGGTCCCTCTGGAAGGCATGCCTTCCCTCAGGTGAGGCAACTGCACCACTCAGTTTGGTGTCATTCACTAATTTGATGAGGGTGCACTCAATCCCACTGTCTATGTCATTGGTGAAGACATGAAATAGTACTGGTCCCAGTACAAACCCTTTAGGGACACCACTCCTTACTGGTTTCCCCCTGGACATTGAGCCATTGACCATAACTCTTAACTCAACTCTTTTGTTAACCCTTTCCCTCTGCATGAAGAGCAGTCAAAGCTACTGGGGGCGGGACAGAACACGGGGAGCCCCAACATTCCTTGCCAGGCAACACTCAAACAGAATCCACAGGACAGAAGTGACCATGGCACTGCCAGCTCTGCAGCACACACTGTGCGGCCCTGGGGCTCCTCCGATGGCCCAGCTACTGCAGCCATTCCTCTTCCCCAAAACCTTCTACACCAGAGGTGAGGACTAACCCTGACCCCGACAGCCCCGGGACTCGCTCTGGGGAAATTCAGAGCCCTTTCTCCGTTGCGCCTCTCCCTTCTCCTTCTCAGTCCCCTCATGCGCCCTCCTGTCCCGGCTTGGGATGTGATCACCAGTGAGTGCTCATGTCTCTCTGTCAGGATCAACCTGCCCAGTAAATATAATTTATAGATAATTCCCCAATCTCTTGGAGCCATCTCTCCCATTTCACCACCACATGGACAATCGTCCCTGCCACAAGCTCCCCACTCACCCGGCACAGAGCAGGGGGATGTCTGTGCTCAGGGCTGGCTCAGGGGGTGCCCCAGGAGATTCCTCCAGGTCCTCACCCCTGCACATCTCCCTCTCACCTCTGCAGGTCTGCAGATGGCTCCAAGCAGCAGCTGCTTCAACCCCCATGTCTCCCACTCGGAGTGGACGAGCACCAACCTGCCTCCAGCTGCCACCTTTGTCACCGGCCACAGCGTTGCTTCCCGGCCAGGCGCTGCCCTGTGGGGACCCCCGGGCTGCGGCTCCCCCCGGCCTGGGCAGAGCAATGGGCCCCCCAGAGCCAAGCTGAGCTGTCCTGCCCCACAACTGTCAGGGCAGAGCAGCGGCCTCAGCCCGTCCAGTGCTGCCACCGTCCCTCCGCAGCCACCACCACGTCGAGGGACAGTACACGCACCATGGCCTGTCCAGCAGAGCCAACCGCTGGCGGCACCCCCAGGCAGTGGCAGCCACCCAGGCAACAATATCCCCATGGTTAAGGACATCCTCCCAGGTGTTGACATCTCCCTGGCGAGTGATGTCCCCATGGATGAGGACATCCTCCCAGGTGTTGACATCTCCCTGGCGAGTGATGTCCCCATGGATGAGGACATCCTCCCAGGATGTGACATCTCCCTGGCGAGTGATGTCCCCATGGATGAGGACATCCTCCCAGGTGTTGACATCTCCCTGGCGAGTGATGTCCCCATGGATGAGGACATCCTCCCAGGATGTGACATCTCCCTGGCGAGTGATGTCCCCATGGATGAGGACATCCTCCCAGGATGTGACATCTCCCTGGCGAGTGATGTCCCCATGGATGAGGGCACCCCCCTGGGTGGTAACATCTCCCCCAGCCACTCTGCTGCCCTCCACGTCCAAGCCATCAGGGACCCCGGGGTGATTCCAGCCGGTGACGTTGTGCTGCCTGAGGTGGTGCTGCTGGAAGAGGCTATGAGGCACTTGGATTGCTCCCTGGGGGCAAGGGGGGGATCAGCCGGGACGATTCCAGCAGCGTCCCCGTGCCCGTGGACACCGGTGGCACTAGTGGCTCCATCCCCCAGCGCAGGATCAGCTCGCTGTGGCTGCCCGAGAAGATGCTCCCCAATGACTCGTGTCCCCAAGGCCTCCAAAGCCACCCTGAGCAGGGAGCACTTAACTCCCATCAGGATGAGGGCTGAGGATCCACGGCAGGACGTGGGGACAGACCTGCCACCCCCTCAGGGCAGTGTGTCCCGGCACGACACCAGCCGGGAGAAGCGAGGGGAGAAGTGAGGGGAGAAGCGAGCGGAGAAGTGAGCGGAGAAGCGAGGGGAGAAGCGAGCGGAGAAGCGAGGGGAGAAGCGAGCGGAGAAGCGAGCGGAGAAGCGAGCGGAGAAGCGAGCGGAGAAGCGAGCGGAGAAGCGGCAAAATGGCTCCCGGCCAGAAAATGGCGGCAAGCGCAAGGCCCCTGCAGCCAGTGCTGGGGCGGGGGGTGGGACTGGGCCTGTTGCGGGGAACGGGTGGGTTTGGGGAGGGGGGAGGGTGTGTTGACGATGTAGTAGCTTTGGTAGTGCGTGTTTTGTTCTCAGTTTTTCCATTAAAAGCCATTTATCCAGAACCTGTCCGTGCCTCACTGACGTCCTCCAGGCAGGTGACATCCGTAGCTCTTCCCTCGTCCTCTAATGCCGTCACTCCATCATGGAAGGCCGCTGGATTAGTCGGGCACGATTTGCCCTCGGCGAAGCCACGCTGGCTGTCTCTAAAGCGGCTGCTGAGCTGTTGTCATTCCATTTTCTAGCTCTGCAGTCACCAGTTGTGAGGCATTCATGACTCTCGGCCGCTATGAATTTACAAACTGGCAAAAATGAGCTCTCTAAAGTAGAAACATCCTTCCCAGTAAACTGCCCTGGCATTTTATCGGAATCTGTTTTAGTTTTCCTGCTCTGTGCTGAAATCCTGTAAATTCTTCACCATTGCTTCTGCCACTGTTAGTGCTACTGGTCCCCAGAAATGTTCCAGCTCCCTCTTGCCTGAAATCGCTTTTGAATTCACTCCCTGCTGTAACATCGCAAACCGATTTGCCGCACACTCTATCTCCTACAACATTTCTTAAGTAAGCACCTTACAACTGGCCTTTTTTGACATGCCAAGCTAATAGCTACTGTTTCATTTTGCATTTCTCATAGTACCAGGGAATGTGAAATACTATTTTTAATATATTGCTGCCTATCCTCACTTTCTGCATTAGTTTCACAGATTTTCAGTATACTTCTTTCACTATTTCTTTTCGTCACCAGATTTTCTGCAGAATAGCCCTCTGCCAAAGTTTGTTGCCTTACAGTGATTTTTGTCTTTGCCCTTTGCTACATAGAAGCCAGCACAAATAAGGGAAAAACTGACTATACAAGAGAGTGTGAAAATACCTTACGTCTAAATGACAAAACTAAGATCTTCATAAAGATTAATTAATAAATAAATATACCTATACACACTTCCCCCCCACCCCCCCCCGACACATACACCTATAAACACGCCCCCGCGACGGGTCACGCGCACCTCGACACCCACACCTGCCCCTACAGACACCCATGAGGACCGGCACCCCCCGGCCTCCCGCCCCGCTCTGCCCCTCGGGCCCGCTCCCCTCACACCAGCGCCGGGGAGCGGGGGAGTGTCACTGAGGGAGGAAAGTCTCACCTCGCCGGTTCGTGGGGCGGACGCGCACCGCCACCTTCACTTTGGAGTCCCCCATCGCGCTGCTCCAACCTCCTCCCCGGCTCCTTCGTCCCTCCTCGGCTTCCGTTTACGGAGGGACAACCGGCGGGGCGGGGAGGAGGGCGGAGCGGGGCGGGAGGGGGTGTCAAACCGGGGGGAGGGGGGGGGCGGAGGAAGGGAGGCACCGTGTGTGACCGACGTCCGGCTGGACTACAGATCCCAGCGTGCAGCGCCGCCCACCCCGCCGCTCCGGGGAGGCGGGCAGCGAGGCGCGATGCCCGCTGGGAGTTGTAGTCCTTTCCGCGCCCGTCTCCTGGCGGGACAGCATTGCATGCTGGGATATGTGGTCCGCTAGCATAGACGAGTTTCGTGAGGGGGCGAGCCCCAAATGGCGTTTGTGGGTTGTGTCGCGCTGACAGAGAAGGGGGGTCTCAGGCTCACCCCAGGTCCTGCCACACATCACCAGAGTGGCTGTGGGCCAGCCCTGTCCCACCTCAGTCTGTGCTGCCTGTGCCTCGGGCCCTTTTTGAGGGAATACTGCCATACTTCGCAGCATCGCCGCTGCGACCCAAAACCTCACCTCGCCGCAAGATGTTCTCTGGGAGTCACAAAGCAAGGCGGCATTGCTCTGCTGGTCCGTGGGGTTTCTGTCCGTTAGAAATCACGTCACGCCGAGGATCACGAACCGTAACCCAACGTAAAGACCGTGGGGTTAGATGATGGCTGGGTCTGGCTTCGCAGAGCAACCTCTGATACGCCGCCGTCAACACACTTTGCAGTTTGCTTAATGAAGGCGGTTCATTAATAGAGCTCAACAGTAATAATCGGAGACAGTTGGAACAATATTACAATTTATTCCCATTAGACGGCTCGGCTGCTCAACCGCAGCTACTGATCTCAGAGACCGAGAATGAAACTATAATGCGAAGATGCAAAAAAAGAAATCTCATTTAAATGGTCATTTAAAAGCCCTTGCAGCTGCTATTTTAGATCAAAACAAAGATTCTCTCTGTGTTATTTTGAAAGGCCAGATTTCAGCAAGGACGGGGGGAAAAAAAAAAAGAAAACAAAACAGCAAACCAACCAATTCAGAATTGTAATCCTTTGGGCCTTCAACATCGAATGAGATTTTATGGCATAAATAAATAAATAACACATTTCCAAGTGGTTTTGAGATAAGATTTTAGAAGGTAGCTCTTCTTGCCCAGAAGAATTGCACTCAATATCTATCATTTCATGCCTGCTTGACCTGAGGAATATCTTGTCAAGGCAGAGAGAAAACAAATATTAAATTGGTATTTAAGTAACACTGGGATTAAAGTCCATGTTCTTAAGAGCATCCCAAGTGAGCATGAGAGTTAAGAAGATGTCTTAGAGTTAAAAAAAAAAAAAGAAAGAAAAAATAACAGCAGGTCAGATCAAACAGGGTGGCAAAAGCTTTAAACAACATTTTTTTGTGCATAGCAGCAGAAAGTAGCAGCTCCTGGGTATGCCACGCTTGCAGCTCAGCCCCACAGCCCCGTGTTGTGGTGGGGTTCTTGTTGGAAGAGGGGAGGACCTGCTGTCAGCCCGCACAGTTGGTTCTTGCACTTGTGGACTTGAGGATCCAATTACAGGATGAACCGGGCTTTGAACTTCTTGTGGTATTTTCCAGCCGGGGCCTCAGCAAACCGCACCAACGTCTTCTGAAACCGAGTACTTTGCAATGGAGGTAAATATAATCCCCGCTTTACAGCTGGGCATGATGAGCCGCAAGTGGAGGGTGATGTTTTTTCTGTTGAGTCACCTGGAATACGATTTAAATAAGTGGGATGAAACCTGCCAGATGTGCATACTGCTGGGGATAGCAGGTGTCACCCAAATCCAGCCCTTCCTCCTGCATCTTCTCCTCTGATATTAGTTATCATTGGTCTCTCTGTTATATGTAAAATTAAATAGTAAATCTTGTGGGGAAAGGATTGCAGACCAGCTTTTCATTTGATAGAAAGAGGGGCCAGCATGTTTTAAGTGCCATATACATGGACAATAACAAGTGAAAGCATCCAATTCTTGCAAGCTTTGCTTCAGTTTTCTACTTGGGATGAAGAATTTATTTTAAAATCTGAAAACTCACCCTTTCAACCTTTCTTCCATTCTAATTGCCAAAGAGAAACCAGATTCGCACGTGATCGTTGCTACGTTCTGCAAACTTCTCTGAAGACGGAGACATCCTCGGAGGCCAAAGAACCATCCTCAGCTTCAACGTCGGGTTTTATCGGGGCTCTGGGAAGGCGATGACTTCTCATGGCTCTGCAGTCTTGCCTCTGGACATTTCCTTTATGCGAGCCCCTGCCTCCTGCAATGAATTACAGTAATGCAACTTATCTTGCACCGGGCACAAGCTACCTCAGTGTAATTACCCCACTGTGAATTCCTCGGCAAGCCCTTTCCCTGGCTCAGAGTTTCACAATCTGTGGGAAGCATCTCCCTGGAGGGGCACAGCTTGGAGGGAGGATATTGTTTCCATTCACAGCACTGGAACATGCTAATTATTCTGGGAGGAAAGGGGGGGTGGGGTGGGGGGGGTGGCAGCTTTCACTTGGGAGGGACAGGCTGGGCAAATAGTTTGTGAAACGCCAACTTAACCCCATCTTGTAGGGCATTGTCTGCAGCTCTTTTCCCCCTTCCTAGTTACTGTAATGAGGGCCTGACTTCCCAGATTAGCTCTGGCTATTTAAATGCTAATTTAATTAACAAAACATCCGGGGGGGGGGGGGGGGGGGGGGGGGGGGAAGCATTACTTGTCCCTCCCATTCATTTATCGAATTTCTGAATGCAACACTATTTTCATCAGGTTGAGGAGCTACAGTTATTGCTACACCCACCTGGTCATAGCAGGGATTAAAGCAGTGATGTGGAGGAGAGAAAAAGAGGGCCTCCGTCTCATTTTTTTTATAAGCAAACTGAATTTCATTGGTTTTGTTTAGAAGTAACCAAGTCAAAACAGTTTAATGTGTCCCACATAACTGGGATGGCTGGGGTGTGTGTATCACCAGGACCCAAGGGAAGAAGATGGCTTTTGTTTTTGTTTAGGTGAAGGTATGAATGGTTTGGATCTCGGATCTTCTAGATAGAACTGTATCTCAGGGCAAGCCAGAAAACATGACAGTCTTTTGGAAGTCTTCTTCCAGTCCATAACAAGTAACAAATCAATTGTATTTTAAATATTTTTTTTCATTTGTTAGACTGCGTATCAAAAGAGACGCATCAATTATGAATTTGCAGTAGACCTACTTTCTGCCCATAAATCATTCAGGTGTTGGAAAACTAAAACAGAGGATCTTACTAGTGTTTAGTTAGTTGTATGCAAACTCTTAAGGGGTCCACTTCTGCAAGAAGCTGAGCACCAACTGGGACAGTCCCAGTCAGAGACTGGGAGGCATTCAGGGCAGCCAGCAGCACTTTAGCATCTTCAGTGATCAGGTTCTCAGCACAAAAATATTTTGCGAAACAGTTTAAAAACAAGACCTGTTGCTGTTTTGCATTTTTCATAGATTGTTGTTTTGGCCAGTCCCAGGAGTAAAGAGTTTTATTCTGGTACGATAAGTTTGCCTTCAGGTTTATCTTGCTTTTCAGTCTGGAGATACAAATATATAAATGTAGTAGAAATTTATAGGTACGTAGAAGCGAAAACAGAAGATAGATTTGTTATAAATTTCTTTCAACTATAATCAAGAAAGCAAGCACCAAGGGAAATTGGTATTAAGAACAGGTCAAGAAATCTGGATAAAAGAGAAATTCAATTTATCCAAATCAGTTGTCAAAACTCTGCTTGATATCAAAATGTTGTCTGCTTTTTGTTTTTTGTTGTTTGTTTGTTTTTTTTTTTTTTTTAAAAGGAATTGCTGAAATTTCTCAGCCAACACTTTGCGCAAATGTACAGGTTTGGGAGACTCACATTCATTTTAGCAAGGCACTTTCTGTGCTCCATTATTTTAATAGGAACTTCCTATAATCAAAGGATGATTGTTCCCTGGGTCATTCGTGACTCTGAATTTCACTGATCCTGGCATGAACTTTTGAAGGTATTTGAGTGTGGCCTCCTAGTCTCAGTGTGAAAAGTATTCACGGCCAAATAAATGAACTCTCGAAGTCTTCTTGCGGCACTAGATTATAACAGATTAAAACCCGAACCACACTTTTTATAGACAGCCCCCTCTTTTTAAAAGTTATTCCAGAGTTCAAAGTCCTGGTCATAAATCTCATGGCATTATAGGACATGTATTACCCAGAGGAAAGCACAAATCAATAGCCAGACCCCGATGTCTCCATAAACCCCATATCTGTTTATAGCAGTGAAATTTCTTACACTTTGGCTGGGGTGCTTCTCCCATACAGTGGGATTTCAGTACAAATTCATACTTCTGGCAGCAACGCAAGGCCAGGCAATATTAGCAAATTTTGTGCTGGTAGGATGAGGTTCCTGATGAGTATTTTCTCATTGACTAAAAATTTCTATTATTCTTATCAGCTGTTCAGTTTGCTGATACAGAGTGTTTCAGAGCAACTGGTTTTACCAGCCGTGTTACATTTTCTTTGAGAGGTTCTTTCCTCAGGTAAAGACTCGACACTGGATTTCCTTTGTTTGAAAGGAAATAGATTTTCTGTCTTTGGAGAAAATGGAGAATCTCTGAAGAACTTGAAAAATACAAAATTAGCGGGAGAGCGTTTCTAGCAGTTGTAAGACAAGTTTGTAGTTCTATAAAAGCAAAAATCCCAACACAATGGCAATTACGGGTACTCTGATGAACGCATATTTACCGAGCTGTGTAATGTTTCCCGCGTTTATCTCCTAGTACTTCTGAGATACATGAATGGTCAGGGCTGAACTGCCTTGACTTCAAAGGTTGGAATATTTTACAGCTTCATCTGCTGAATCATGTTGGTTTTGCTCCACTTCTGCAGAGGCGCCGCCTGCAAAAGCCACATTTTTTTGCTTTTCTGCCCATCCACACCTTGTCTCTTCTTCACCTTCCCTCTTCCCCAGAAGCTGTACAGCTTCAGAGCATGTCCTGGTAATCCAGACACCGACAGACACTGGCCAAGATCCTAATCCAAACCCAGATCTAAATTATCCAGCTGCATTTACACTAATAATAATAATAATAATAATTAAAAAACCCTAATGTGTTTTGCCTATGTTTAGCAAATAACACCGCAG